CAGGGACATGGCGGGGACGGTGACGCAGGGTCAGTGGGGTGAGTGGGGACCCCCGGCAGGTCCTGCAGAGCCCCCCGGGATGCGTTTCCCACCCACCGCCGTTGCAGCCCTGGTGCAGGGGTGGGTCTGGACACGGCCGTGGTGTTTCTGTCTTCCCCTTTGCTGGAGAAATTGTTTTGGTGGGGCCACGCACAGCCCGTCGGCACCGGCACCGATGCCAGGGGGTGAGCGCAGGGATGCCGGCAAAGGTTTGCTCTCAGCCCGTGGTGAAGGCGTGTGTGTGTGCGCAATGCAGCCCCTATTTCCCCAGCCGCCTGGCTACACGCTATTAATATGCTATTAATATTATATGCATTATAATTATAATTATACTCTCCTCCAGGTGGGGCATCTCAGGGCAGGGCTGTCCTGTGGCTATGTGTGCCGATGCTCGGCACTGCGGCGCTGCTGACAGCACTGGAGGCTGCACCGTTCGTTTCGCCTTGGCTTGCCGTGGCTTGATCACCTGAATATTTTATTCTCTTGGACATTGTGACCATCAAAACTTGAGCTGGCTGCGTTCTCTGAAGTGCTCGTGGTTGCTGTTCCTGGGGGATGTTTGCACCGATGGTGGTCAAGGGGATTTTTGCGTGGGAAATGTAAAGCATGAGCAGAATTGAGAGCGTGCGTTCGCGGTCAGGAGGTGCAGTGTGGTCCCGAGGGACAGGGCAGTGCGGCGGTTTTTGGAGATACTCAATGCACAGAGGTGCTCGTCCCTGTTTCGCTGGTCTCACCCTGCGCTGTCCTGTCCCCTGCAGGTCTGTCGAAGATGCACTGGTCACCAGAGCATGCCCAGTCCCTGAACCAGTGGCCGGAGCAGCACCTTGACGTCTCCTCCACCACCTCCTCGCCAGCCCACAAGTCCGACCTCTACCCCAGCACCCGCCAGCGCTTCAACTACGCCTGGGCCAACGACGACATCTCCGCACTCACTGCCTCCAACCTCCTCAAGAGGTACGCCGAGAAGTACTCGGGGGTGCTGGACG